TTCCCAAGTGCTGCCATTGCAAGCGTGTGCTACCACGCCCTGCAGGCTGCATTGTTTTCTTTTCATTTTTAAAGATTTTTTGAATCAGAGTCTTGCTCTAATTCAGGCTAGCCTCAAACTTGCAGCGACCCTCCTACCTCAGCCTCCCAAGTGCCGATAATACAGGCAAGTACCACCATACCAGGCCGTTGTTCTCTGTTGCAGAACTGATTTTCACTTCCTTCTGCCCTTCTCCACCAGGCATTGCTAGGTCTTCTCTCTATCCGTGCGAGGCCACTGACAAGCGTGAGTAGGGCACTGGTTGTTCCACCTACGGCATTCCGATTGCATGTCGGAGAAATAGGCGGTTTATTACTGTTATTAATAGTATTATTAAAATTGTCTGTATTGGGGGAACCTCTCTCCCCAGGTGTCCCGCTGCATGAGGCTCTGGGGCTGGAGTAATGGCCTGGGGTCGTGAAGTGTTAGTCGTCCTGTTTTCAGTTTCTTTGAGTTCCTGGTTGGAGTCCTCTGACTTCGAAGAGCCCAGCGGGGAGGACATTGTGACCGGATTTACGGATCACCCAGAGCCTCTGAGGGCCGCCCCGCTCCCTCCCTCCCTCGCTCCCTTCCCCAGGTGGGGTGGGTACCGGGATTCTCTGTGGACAGGTTGCCTCTGTCCTACCCTCTAAGCTTGATTTTAGTCCAGCTAGGCTGTCTTTTCATTTATCATCCTGTATTTGATTTTATCTTTTGCCTCCTCCTCAGAGTAACTGCTTTTCTTCAGCCCCAAATCTGAGGTACTAGCCATCACCAGCTCCCCCAGTTTGGCTATGATGATTCTCCCTTGGGTGTCTTTAATCTCTTGGGTGTCATTCTTTAATCCACCAGGGGGAGCCAGAGCCCAAGCGATGGCTTCAGAGACAGCTGTGGAGGGGGCAGGGGAGTGCCTAACGTTTGCGTTTGATGCTTATGCATATGTTTGTGTGTGTGTGTGTGTGCGTGTTTCGCAAACATTATAAAAATAAATTGCAAATTATACTTGAAGAAAACTAGATTGAAAAATAAAGTTAATATTTACATATACTATATTACATTGTTAAAATTATTGAAAAGTTACTTATACATGTGTAAATATGACAGAGTATCATTCCTACTTGGAGTAAATGTCAGTGTCCTCAACAAGACATGAAAGCCCTAACCATTAGGAGAAAGGCTGATAAAGCACCACCGGCCTGCAGTAAGAACTTCCATTCACCCAAAAACAGCTTTAAGAAAATAGAAAGGTGTGTCACAGAATAGGATCAAATATTTGCAATGTATTTAATGAACAAGAATATCTAAAGAGGTCCTATATATCAAGTAGGAAGCAGAAAATTAATAGACAATGAATAGACATTAACAAAGGATAATCTCAATGACTAGTAAAAAAAAGTTCAACCTCATTTGTTTTTTGTTTGTTCAGGTTGGCCTTGAACTCACTGTGCCTCAGCCTCCCATGTGCGCCTCTGTGCCAGGCTAATTTGTGTGTGTGGTGCTGGGGATTGAACTCAGGGCCTTGTGTATGCTAGGCAAGCACTCTACAGCTGAGCTAGAGCCCCAGCCCCCTCATTTCTAACCAATAAAATACATAATCAAGCCATGTGAGTGCAACAATGTATCCACCTGGGTTTACAGAATGAATACAATGAGAATTTGCAGGCTGTGAATTGGTAGGGACATTTTGGGATGGAAGTGAGAATTTTCTAGTAAACTGAAGCTACACATACCATGACCTAGCATTCCACCCCTAGATATATACCCAACCATAAACCCTGCATATAACCCAAGCAGACATGTGCAAGAGAGCTCCCCAAATTAGAAGCAACCTCATTGAAGTAACAGAAGACTGAAGAATTATAACACAATCATGCTAAACAACAGTTAAGGGGCTGGGGATTTATCTCAGTGGCACAACCCCTGCCTGGCAAGTGCAAGGTCGTGAGTTCAATTCCCAGTACTGGAAAAAAAAAAACAACAAAAAAAAAAAACCCCAAAAAACAAACAATTAAAATGAGAGAGCTGAAGTCAAATGTATCAATAATAAAGTATTACAAACCTTTAAAAAGCAGACACCAAAGGAATACATACCATATGAGTCTATTCTATAGTTCAAAAATTGGGTAAAATTATGTATCAAATCTAATAGCTCAATTTTAGAAAATTATAAAAATATTTTTGCTAATCATGCAAAATCCAATAAATGTAAGTAAATGTGACTAACTTTATGTGTCAGCTTGGCTGGGCCATGGTGCCTTGTTATTTGGCTTGATCTATTATTCTGGATGTTTCTGCAAGTGTGTTTTTGATAAGTTTAACATTTAAATCAGACTCTGAGTAAAGGAAATGACTCTCTATAGTGTAGGTGGGCCTTGTCCAATCAGGTGAAGGCCTGAACGTTATAAAAGATTCCTCCCCTGACCAGGAGGAAATGCTGCCAACAGAAAGCTTTCGGACTTGAACTGTGATGCTCGCTCCTCTCTCGGTCTCTGGTCTGCTGACACATTCTACAGATTTCATACTTATCTATTGTTTCCTTTTCCTCTAGAGAACCCTGACTGATACGTAGGTAAAAATGTCTAAAGGTACTGTATGATAAGTAGGTAAAAGACATATGAAAAATAATTACTATAAGCAAATAAAATTGACCATAAAAGATACAAGATTAAAATTAAAGGCAGTTAAAGAGGAAAATTTGAAAATGACACAGCAGATGAAGTTGGTAGCTGTGCATAAAAATCAAGACAAAACTAGGTAAACATCAAGAATAAAACGATGTGAAAATGATCGGGGAGATAGATTTTTAAAATAAAGCAAAAGCAAAGAACTTGGGAATGGAAAGAGAGAGAGAAAATGAGACCAGGAAGTAAGATAAAAGCAGAGGTCTGTGGAACTGGGTGTGAGAAAAATTGATTTTCCCATAGTTGAGACCTGTTGCCCTGGCGACATCCCTCCCAGACGTGCCCTTTCTCACCCTCCTTTCCCGATGTCTGGTAGACCCAGACCTGACCAAGGCATACTTCTCTCTTTAAGATATACCTTATTTTCAGTTGACATGTAGTATTTGTACCTATTTATGGGGTATACTGTGACATTTTGATACATGACATTTTAATGATTGGATCAAGAGACTGCCATATCTATCTGCCTGTACCTGTTGGAGTGGAGCTATAACTCTGTGTAGCTAGTTGGAGTTGACCGAACTACTGGTATACCACCAGCCTGGACTGTCCACAGGCTGAAGTAGACACTGATGCGCCTGTGTTTTTCCTTCTAGTCTTTTTCCTTCTTACGTATTTGTATATTTACAGTGTGAAGATCATACTCCACACGTTCTGCATCACATTATATTATGAGTGTATTACGGGACAGTTTTGCAATGCTTTGATGGGAAGATAACCTTCCTTCATGGATCGTTTGCTGAGGCAGTGGCTGTTCCACAAATATTTGTTGCGTGCACGCAAGGCTCCAGGTGTGTGTGGCTGTTCAAGGTTCCTCTGAGTTGGCAGCTGCCAGTGGGACCAATGGGAATGTCAGTGCTTGCAGTGTAGGAGGCATTTCTGTCCTGCTTGGAGGCCGCTGCTGATTTCCAGGTTCACAGCTGTGCCGGGTAACTGTGTGGGTAGGAGAAGCACGTCTATATTTCAGATGGTGATACAGATCTGGGCACTTGACAAAAGCTAAACATTTCCACAAGCCATGGGTTTCTGGTAGTTCACAGATAAGTTTTGGGACTGTTATTAATCAGAGATGACATGGCAATCTTCTCTCTCACGCTGCTTCTTTACTTTTTAAATTTATCTTTTCCAAACATATAACAATGCTGTAAATTTAAGACAATATAATAATATATATAATGAAAAGGCTTATTCTTTCCACTTCCTCATCTTCCAGCATGTTCCTCATGCAAGTGTTTTTATTAGTTTTTTTGTGTATTATCCCACACTTTCTTCACTCAACTATAAATATACATGCTTATTTTTTCTTCGTCAGCACAAAAAAGTACCCTATAATTCATGTACATTTTCACCTTACTTTGTGCACTTAACATTACTTTTTGGACATAGTTCCACATAAACACAGAGCTGACTTTCTTGATCTTTTTTATTCCTGTAGGCCTATGTGTCTATGCAGTATTCCACTGTAATGTGGTGTAACTCTCTGGCCAAATTGACATTTGAACTTATCATTAGGCTCGTTATCCCAAATAAGGCTGCATTCCGAACCTTGTACATATTTAATTTTGCACCTATAATTTGGTCAGAGGGTAAGATAATTTATGATATGGTAATTTATGATATAATTATGATATGATAATTTATATCGCCAAATTATCTTCCACAGGTGTTGTGGCCATATCCATTCCCACCAGCCACATTCTGACCTCAGCTTTAACCAGGAACCTAGGACAATTGTTAATGGAGCCAGCAAACTGGATGTCTGCTCTACACCAGGTCCTGTGCTGAGTGGGTATAAGGTGAAGAGTAAAATACCCCAGTACCTGCTTTCAGTAGAGAGAGAGACAGGCTTACTGGCCAGTCAAGTCAACATGTGCCAAAGCACACAGCACAGGACAGGAAGTACTCTGAGGACATGGACAAGCGGGTGTTTTGTTCAGCAAGGGCTTCAGAATGGGTAACAATCAAGCTAGGCTTGAGAGACAAACAAGTTTCCAAGGGGCAGAGAGGTGTTTCAGACAGAGGAGACCATGAGCAATAGTTTAGATGTTGTTCCTAGAGCAGCACAGATCGAGCATGAAGTGCTAAAGGCTGGAGAGGCAAGAAAATCCCAGGGGGATTTTCTTTGCCTCCCAGGAGGCAAAGTCTACTTCATCCCATAAGAATTGAGAGGTCAGATGGCCTTCCAGCCACACCCTGCCCTTCCTCCTCCCTAGGCTCCAACTTGCCAGTCTGATAATGTGTGTCTTCTTCCCCTCAGTGAATCATTAATGCCTTACCTGCGGACTTCACAATAGCCCTCAGGTGGGCCGGTTATGATGCAGCAAATGCAATCACCATCCCTTGGGTTTCCATTACACTGTCAAAGAAACAGACTACAGGCATTAACACCTCCCATCTAAGCCTGTTGCCGGAGTATGGTCAGAGAAAGGGAAAATGGCTATCCAAAGGGTGGAACACAGAAGACTGGACATCCAGGAGCTGAAGAAAGGGACACTGAAGACGGCGACTCAAACAGGAATGGAAAATCAGTCAAAATCCCTAGTGACAACTGCTCCTGCTTTCATCAAGCTTCCCTGTGTTGCCAAGAGGACCTGTGTTCTGCGCTACCATTGGGGTGAGTGCGGCCTATGCTTCCATAGAAATGCTTGTACAGGCGGTCCCAGCCTGTCTAATGGAAAGCTACACTCCTGGGTTTTCCCACTCTGAGAGGGACGGCTAGAAGGACCCTCTTCAGAGTTCTAACCCACCTACCTCTCTGCCTTTCAGGATATGGACCAAATTCAACAAATCAGACCCCCGCATTGCCCTAGGAAAATACTCCCCCTTGGAAAAAGAGATCTTGGTAAGTGGGCCTGGGGTTTACACTTAGGCCTCTCTGATGCCTACCAGTGAGCGGGGGACAGGGGGCCTCGATTCCAAGCCCACTGATAGTAAGAAAGTCTCCCAACAGAGGACTCAAGTTGTCTGGGTCTGCTGGTGGATTCCACTCTTGGACAGAAAAATTCAGTACTCTCTTATTTAAAAGTCCCAATTAGAACTATAACCCTAAGTAATTACAGATGGTGGACATGGCCTCTTTTGAGCTCTGATCTTATACTCATTACGTTCACAGAGATTGTCTTATTGAGGCTTCAAATGGCTCTGTAAGTCAATACATTCTTGCAAATTCATAGTACATAAGAGGAGAGTCATGATTTGAACCCAGGCTGATCTGACCCAAAATGTCCACCCTATTTCACATTGTTCACAGCAATGAAAGGAGAATGAGCCCCCAGCTAATTCTTTCTGGGAGGTCTACCCGCCTCTGTGCGTGGATATTTTAACAATCCCCTCCCACTGTCAGCGTCTAGGTGGTGTTCATACTATAGCCACGAGAAGGTTTTTGGCTTCCAAACAAGAGGAAGAACGGAAAATGGTGCAGGAACTGCGGATGCTGTCTCCAGACTACAAACAGGCCATGGAATATAAGAAACAGTGCTCCCCTCCTTGTGCTGTGTATGAACCCGTGAAGAAACTGTGGACAGCACGAGTGACTGTGCCTGCCGAGGAGTTCACAATGCCCCAGAGGGAGAAGATCAACGTCAGCAGGCACGTAGAGAGGATGCAGCTGGCCCGAACCCTGGGAAATGCCCTGGTCTCCTACGCTGAAAGACTCAGAAGCGCCATGTCTCTGGGTCTGCCAGCAAAGGGCAAGGCGAAGAAAGATGGGGACAGTCTTGACAGTGATTATTGTGATACTATCAAGCAGGAGGAGGAAAAGGAGGAAGAGGGCAAAGTCCCAAGAAGACAAGAAATAAAAATGAATGTCATTTTTAAGTCAGAAGAAGCAAACAAATGTTTACCATGCCAAGCAAAGGATTGCAAACCTTTCCTTCCCATAAAGACACCGGAACGGTCCATTGCAGGCCTAACAAACCGAAATCTCCTTCCCCTAGCTGAGTTCCCTGGAGACCTCATGCTCATGAACCAGAATTTTATATCTCGGGGAATCCACACCAGTGATATACTCGGTACCTACCACCTGCAAGAAGGGAATCCCTGCAAGGAGTGCATGGGCAAAGCTGCTCCTCCTAATTATTAAACTTGAATTTATTCCCCAAGGCACCCAAGGGTCCTTATTTCTTTCGCACACTGTGCCCCAGGCTCCTTCCCTAGTTTGGCTTCCCCTGACCTATCTCTTAGTGTCCTCAAAGTAAGACCCAGTTGCTGAGGCTTCTTGGTTTCTGGCAACTGACAGTTTTCTTTTTTTTTTTAGTTTTTTTTTTGGTTTTTCTCCGGTACCAGGAACCGAACTCACGACCTTGCGCTTGCCAGGCAAGCGCTTTTGCTGCTGAGCTAAATCCCCAGCCCCCAACTGACAGTTTTCTGATCCCAACCTCACTAAAAGTCCTCCTGATTTCAGCTAGTCCAACTGGGAGCAGTCCTCTGCCTCTTCTTTTTTCTCTGGGGCCTGTATCAGTTACCTATTTCTGTGAAAAAAGAAAAAAATCCCTAATTTTAGTGGTTCAATACAATAATTAAGGTTCTAAATCTGTGGGTCTGCAATTCAGGCGCGGCTGAGCTAGGTGGTGCCCCTGGCCGTAGGAAGTGCTATGGTTTAGATCAAGAATGTCCCCAAAGGCCTTGTATCCTCATAGGTGGGGACGTTGGAAGGTGACTGAAGAGTAGGCAGGGTGATATAGCTGACTTGCTGTTAGAGGGCAGGGAATGCTTAGAAGAACCAGGTCCCTGCCGGGGGGACCTGGACAGGTATACTCTCTCTCTTTGGCTCCTCCCTTCTCTCTCTGCTTCCAGGCAAGCATGATGTTAGTGGCTTTCTTCCTCTATGCCACTTCACCATGCCATCCATTTCTGTCTTGAGCCTGCCGAACACAGACTGAAATTCCTGGAACTATAACCATGAGGCAAAACAAACCTCTTCTCCTTTAAGTTTTGGGTGTTGAGTATTTTGTCCCAGCAATGAGAAAATGACTGAGACAGACTTTGGTACCAGAGATGAAATCATTCCTGTGACTCTACCTGTGGTTTAGAAGCCTTGGGATCCAGTTTGCAGGAGGAGTCTGGAAAGGTTTGAAAATACAGACTAGCAAAGCCCTGAAATGCTACAGACTGAGCTTGATGGGAGATTCAGGTGAGAGCTCCGAAGATCAGATGATTGCGACAAACAATGCAAGTGGCTCAGGAAATTTTGTTGGACTCAAGACCATGTGTTTTGCCAGAGGGTAGAAAGTTTGTCTCCATTCTGCTCATGTCCTGAGACTTTGTGGGAGTCTGAGATTGAGGGTGGCAGACTAATCTAACAGGAAGGTTCAAGGCAGTCAACCTTGCAGGGTGTAGCATTAGTACTACTTGTGGATAGTGAGATTTACACTGAAACACAGGAGCAAAAGCCCAATTTAAAAAGTTTTCAGTTTTGCCAGAAAGAAACCACCCATAAAGTGGAGCAGAGGAGAGCTTGGTTGCTGAAAAGATCAGCATCAAAAAGAAGTCAAGCACTTTGCCTCAGGACAATAGCAAGGGTGCCACAGGAAGAGAAGTGGGCACGTATTTACAGGCTACTTACAACAGTGAGGAAAATTCTAAAACAAGACCCACGCTCGGTCGTCTCAGCTCCCTGAGGTTGGTCTTGCTGCCCACAGCCTTGCTGACGCGGCCCCACTGGGGTCTCTAGCCCTCCTTCTGAAATGAGGAGACAACTCCAAACCGCTTCTTTTGTTTCTGAGTCAGACTCTCCTTCACAGAGGACTCAGACCAGAACCTGACATACAGGGATCTTTTCCTGGAACAGGATTTCCTTAACCTCAGAGTCTCGGACCACCCAACCCATCACCAGGTGTCCCTCAGCCCCCAAGACGCTCCGCTTCCCATTTCTCGTGCAGGGCAGAGGCTGCCCACACCGTGCAGAATTAACCGTGCACGTTCCTAACTCTGTGTTGCAAGCAGTGCTTGAACACGTTTTCTAGTTGTTAGGAGCAGTACTGTGCCCCGCCCCACAAGATCCATGGGCTGAAACCCTACTCTGAATACCTCAGTGTGACTGCATTCAAAGACAGAATCTTTAAGAGGATAATTAAGAGCCAGGTGTGGTGGTGCATGCCTAGAATCCCAGAACTCTGAGAGAATGAGGCAAGAAGATCACAAATGTGCGCTTCACCTGCAGAATTTAGTGACTTAGCAAAACCCTGTCTCAAAATAAAAAATAAGGGATGTCGACACAGTTCAGTACCAAGTACAGGTTTCTGGGTTCAATCTGATGTGCCACAAAAAGAGAACAATTAAGGGTAAAAGAGTTATTAGAGAGGCCCCAAATGCAATATGGCTGGTGTCTTCATAAGAGCAAGAATTAGCACACAGACTCACACAGAGGAAAGACCTTGTTAGGACATAGGAAGAAGGTGGTCATCTATAAGCCAGAAGAAATCAACCCTGCCTGCACCATGACCTTGGAATTCTGGTCTTCGGAATTGTAATATAAGTTTTGTGGTTTAAACCGCTTAGTCTGTGGCAGCCCTAGCAAACTAAGGCACCAGTATGCACGCACACACATGCATGCTCATCCATATGTTTATGAAACCCATGGTCTCGCTCCAGCCCTAAATAAAACTTGAGATCTTCCCAGCTGAAAGAGTAAGTAAGATCCAAAAGGTACAATAGATATTGTGAAAGGGGAAGAACCTGCTCAAAAGGAAAGAACAACTGGGATGGGGAAAAGAGAAAAGAAGGGGCAAAAGATATGTATACACACACAAGATAATTGTACTACTAATTTCTATTAGTTCATTGAAAGGAACAGTTAGTGCTTATATTGTTTGATCAACTTTGCATGCCTGTACTTGGTAATCTGAGCAACTACTTTGAAGATAACAATATGCAATATAGTAATTGTTGTTAATTTCCTATCATCTTGTTTTGAAATTCCATATCATTTTTTGTCTCTTTAAAATTAAAAAAAAAAAAAAAACTTGAGATCTTCTCATCCTTCTGGGTCTATCTCTAGAAACCAGAATCAGTAAAATGACCCAGATGTCAACCTGAGTCAAGGGCGGTCTTGGAAAATTCCACTATCTGGATGATCAAGGAAGGTCTCAGGTATCTTAGGGTGTTGCACATTTGGACAAGTGTCTAACCTCAGGTTCCTTCCAGTCTGCTGCATTTGGTGCAGCCTGGACCTCTGCCCTGCAGCCTCGGTCCCCTGAGTCCAGGGTGATCAGCCATCCTGATTTGTCTAAGGGGAACCAGTACATGGAAATTTCAGTGCTAAAATGGGAAAGTCCTAGGTAAAAAGGCCCAAGTTGGTCCTCCTAGCAAGGTCATTGAAGGAATATAAATAAAAATGAAAGTCCATTATCAAAGCAGCAGGGAGGGATACAGACTTTATGACCAGGTGGCTCTTCCCATGCAACAGGAGTCAACCAAGTCCCCTACCAGACCTAACAGGGCCTTTCACGTGATCTTACAAGTTCAAACATCCAGCAGCTTCCCGATCCCTCCCATTGACTCTGCTGTCTCCTAACATCATGCAGAATCATCCATATTGGAGGCAGATGCAGGTCTCTGTTCCCTGTGAGCTCCTGGTATTTCAGGCACCCAGCCTTCATAAGTAGGTGGAATCTGAGCTTGGTATCATCAGTTGACACATCAAGTAAACCCTCAGTCCTAAAACATTTGCCACCTTCAGCTTTAAATACAGAAGAATGTACTGGGTGCAAGGGGAGGAGGCAGATTTGCTGCAGAGAGATGCTGAGCTCCTTATATCACAGGAAAGTCCAGATACCCGCTGAGGCTCACTCCCACTTTGCCTTCAAAGAGCTCCCCAGTAGGCTGTAAATGAGGATGGAGCAAATTTGAAAATTTTGACCCCTGTAAGACCTTCACTGCTAACTCTGTGGGTCTTAGAGCTCCATGCCATGTGTCATAACCTCACATGGTGGCCTTGCTTTACACGGTCCATCACTCGCTCTTGGAGATTCAGCCTTGCGAAGATTCTGGCTGGGACACTGGTCCTCATTTCAGAACATGGACAAACAGTACAGGTCCCTGGACATGTGTAAGTATGGAGTTCCAGGAGAAAGGGAGCTATTTTCTGGAGGTAACATCAGGTCAGTGATCCAAAGCTGGAGGTTTGGAGCTTCAGCGTTCTGCATGGCTAAGAGGAGGAAGTGAGGGAATTTGGGGCTGGGCCCAGATCAGGGGAGATAAGGTGAGGCCTCAAAGTCTTCCATTCTACAACCTCACCTTTTGCTCCCTGTCCTTTACCTGCCCCTAATCTGTACCTGGATATCTTATCCTTCCTCAGTAGCCCACAGCTGTGGTTTACCTGGATTTTTCCTTAGATCCTGGGGAGTTTGCCAGGGCAGCTCCTGGTCCAGGTAAAATTAGATGCCAGATCTACTAAGATACAAGTTCTTTCTGTAAGATAGAGTGCTACTGGAGGCTACTTCCACATAGTGGCAAGCAATGGAAGGTTTTGCCAAACTGTCCTAGTGTATGGACCCCTTATGAGTGAGCTATGGGCCATGTATATTGGGAAATATTCACCAAAAAGCTCTGGAAATGGGGAATTCCTTATTTGTAGCATGATTTCCATGGTGTAAATATTTTCTCATAGCCATTTTATGCTAGCAAGATGGTGCCGCTGTATGGAGAGCTGGGTAGAGAGGGGTGGGCATTCAATAGTAGATAGGATTTCCATCAGACAGATATGCTATATGCAAAAAACCCTGGGCAAAGATCACAGTCAAATGGAGTCAAATAATTAGAAAGTGATGGCTTTGAGGGTCTGTTACCTTTGCTCCTAAATTTAATTTATTGTCATGGCTGTTTAACAGCTCACAGGCAAAATTTCTAAAAGTGTAGCATTCCCTGCCTATGGTCGCCCCAGCATGATTTTCTGTCTGTCAGCACACACCTGAGCTTCCTCTCCAAGCACACACACCGCATACTATGTGTCCAATGCAGCCCACTGGGAAGAGGCTCTGATGTCAAATCCATCCTGTCCTGGGGCAAATGACCAGATGCCGTCCCTGAGCAGCACATCCTGGAAGCCTCTTGATGCCAACAAAACTTCCAGGATGTGAGTTTCTCTCTAAGCAAAGCTCCAGGCT